TCGACTGCAAATGTACTGTTTTCCTCTCGGTGATGAGCTCTTTCTTTTCCGCTACATCAGGCGACGGCCTCTTTGAAGCTTTTTCACTCTGATCTTTCATCTCTTGACTTCTCTGAGTGCTGAGAAAAATCTGAGAACTCACCCGCTGCGTTCATCCCATTCCTGGATGGATGTTTCCGGAAGAAAACTGTGGATCTGCTCTCCTAACTCTATGCATCCATCAGGCTTTAGCAGGCTGCTCCTCGTTAGTGGGAGTGCTGTTTACTACTATTAGCTGCTTGCTTAAAGCCACACGGAGGTCTTGTAGCACTGTGAGGAACTTATTTCGAGGGGATTTGTTCTTAGAAAGAGGACATGACACAGCAAAACGTCCAAATTAACGTGCCTTGCAGAAGTGTTGATCTCCATGCAATTTTTTTCACATTTTATTAATTTGAAAAAACAAACTTCAATGCTTTTTTATTGTCCATTTATTTGTGCATAACTGATGTAGCATAATCTTCATTTTTTTCTAATTAAAATCTGAAAAGAGTTGCATGTACTTGTATTAAGATTTTATATTGTAGATTGGATGAACTCCATCTATAAACTTTTCTTTGAAATGCCATTTGCTGTGTCCCCTATATTGCTTTTAAGTAGGACTTTATGTATGAAAGTTATCTATTTAACATCATCCTCCCACCTGAGCTTTCTATCTCTCCAACTCCTCCAGAGTTACAACTGGCTTCCTGTCACTTCAGGTCAGCTTTAGCAAGCTTTCCTGTACTTCCCAAATAAAACCTTCCCCATGGCATGATGCGAGTCGAGTAAAAGTCTATAAAAAGGCTTTGGACATTGAGGTTTCAAAATGACAACATTTTAAACTTGTGTGAATACTTTTGCAAGGTGCTGTACATTTGGACTGTTATGCTCTAATTTGTCCAATCAGAGCAAAAGGGTGCAGCCAGATGATTTTTCTACAGTGAACTGTAATTAAGCACTTTTTCCCTTTTTTGGTATAACAATAACAGCCTTTCCTCTGTGTAGCTCTCCCTTCTTTTCTTCTTTTCACAACAAATGCCTTCAGTATTCATCCTGTCTACATTGCCTTTCTGTAATATTGCCAGTGATACTTGTTAAATACATAATTGCTGCTGGGAGAAAAAAAAGAGTTAAACATTACATAAAGGGAGGAACAGTTTGTGTGAACATGTGTTTTCTCTTTTCACTCCATTACTCCATTTTAATCATCTTACATTGTGTGCATGTGTCTGCGTGTCCCTCCCTCATCTCTTAGCTGAATGTTGCTGCTCCTCCCATTAAGCGAGGCGGGACGGGAATGAACCCTGTTGCATGATGGCGATGAGCTGGCAGTTTTTTGTGTTTTTGATCAAAAAGTGATGAGCAGCAGCTCATCGTATCATCAGTCCGATCATGCTCGCAAGCACACGCCGACCCGGACACAAAGATGAGACTCCACTCTTTTTCGTCTGACCTCTCCACACATCTTCCTGCCCATCAGAGTGTGGCAGCGTCTCGACTCTCCATGCATTCACAAGCTGTAGCCTCCCTCACAGAGACTTGGTGTTCACTGTTTGAGAAAACATACCTGCGTGCTCCGTTGCAAAAAGCTGTAGTGAGAGGAGAAGTGGCAGTAGTGAGAATATTGATCTTTTTTATTATTATTTGAGAGAGAGAGGGACCTCACACTGTATGCTCAGACTACCCTTTGTGTTCAGATTCTGGAGCTTCTCTCCATAACCATCGGCCTAGTATATCCCTGCTTGGGAGAAACATTTTAACCAACACTACAAAGACTATCTCTCAATGAAATCCCACTTTTATTTGATTTGATTCTTATTTTGTTGGTTTTATTCATTTTATGGAACTGCTAGTGTCCTAATGCTGGAACCGGATCATGACTGGTGCCCTCTCCTTTTTCCTTCCCCCATTGTTTAATTTAATCCCACCAAGATTATTCACCGAAACCTGCCATGCAGGCTGGTACGACTTTATTTTTTAAGCTGCAGAACAGAACAATAGGGTACAACATGTTTGTCCAGGTAACTCCCTGTACGTTCACTGTTAATGGTACTATTGGGTGCATCAGTGTGAGTCTGGGTACTTAACGGTTTAACTGTTGTATGTGTGACGACACACTGGTGTGCCCTCTTCAGCATCCCGGTGTGGGCACCTTTAGCCATCAGCCTGATCCAGTGCTGCTTTTGCACATTGCCAAGGATCAGGAGACATTTTTTGGAACTAATCTGATATGTGGAGAATGGAAATGTACATGATTCTAGAGCAGTCTGTATTTTGATACTTGAATGATTTTGGCTTTTATAGTTATCTATATAAATGTGTATGTATGTGTATATGTATGTATGTATGTACGTATATAATTTTTGATGTTTTTGTCAAAGCAAAGGAGTATGTCTTATAAACGAAAACATATCGTGAATAAATATCCTGTGATTTAAAAAGAAAAAAGGCTGAGGAATTGACTCAGAGGGACCTCAATTCATAAAAAAAGATTGTAAATAATCTTGGGCTTCCAGTCTTTTTATAATTATTTTTCATAATTGTAAAACTAATAAATGTTGGGATTAGAATAACTTCCTTTGTTGAATCTTTTTTTATTTTTATTTTATGTTCCTGTAAGCTCTTATACTGCCATCATCTGTGCAGCCTAATATTGTAGAGATTCATAGATACAGTAGAATGTCTGTTTTCTGTAATCTTATTATACATAATGATGTATTACAAGCCCATATTTTTTGTAATTTTACTTTATCGAAATCTTTTTTTCATCCTGAGTACAGATATCAGCTTAGACTGATCATGTTTTGAGCCACTGTTTGGTCAGAACTACATACCTTCTTTCTCAACAGAATAAACCCAGCATATTGGTTAAACATATATTGGATAACCCAACAATTTTTTCTGTGTAGACATGGTTTGGCCATATGAATGTGTTCAGGTTGATCGGGTAACTCTGCCTCCAACAACTTATTACAGTCTCTCTGTCATTCCTGAAGCAAACGACAAACAACCAAAGCATTAGTACAAGGTTTATTATGTTATTTTCCAGTTTCGTTCTAATTACTTTAATGTGTTATGAATATGCTCAAGCTGAAAGCATTTCTGTTTGCTTACCCTACATGTTTATTTTTATCAGCTGTAAATAATTTCAAATATTTAAGCTGTCATTCCAATCTTTGATAAAGAAATGAGTCAACAGGAGAAAATTACTGCAGCAAAGAAATTACTTCATCTGAGAACTATGAAGCTTTTCTACAATTAATTTTGTTGAAGTGTAACTGCGTGAGAGCAAAAGCATCATTGTTTGCTAAAGTTTCTGCCACTTTCTGCCCAAGAGTGACCAGTTTATATCCATCTTATCTAAAGTGGCCTGCTTGTGAAGTTATGTAGCTGTGAACTTGGCAGGTGAAGGACCTGATTATTCTGTCAAATGATGTTAACAATGCTTCTTTATTCTGAGAAGTAAAATGTAGTGCCATTGGCCTGCAATAAAAAACTCGAGGGGAAAAAGTCAGAGGACGGTGGTGATTTCAATTTACACAATCACTAACATGTGGTGCTATTCCTGGAAAAATAAACCCACTGACAGGTACTTCTGCTTTTGGAATAAGGTCTTAAATAAGGTCCTATTTAAGACCCTCTGATACTCAACCAGCTAAAACTGACGTGTAATGACAGGAATGTGATGATGTCATTTGAAGTGTAGTGCAAGCTAAGCCTTGCAAAAATAATACCTGGCCTGGTGAGACTGTTTTGGCTGCAACATTTGGCTCATAGGGTCAAAATTTAGCTTTGATGAAATCATAGATCTCATGTCATGTTTCAATGCTTCATGCTAATGATGATGTAATGTGGAACACTTTGTATCAATTGAGCTTTTTTAAATGCCAGAGACACTCTGAGAGTTTTCACTGACCGTGTCCGTCCCTTTATGACCAGAGTGTACCCAGTCTCTTATTACTGCCTCCATCAGGATAATGCACAAAGGCACAAAGCTTAAATCAGGTCAAACTGGTTTCTTGAGTTTACTATTCCTATGGCTTCCTCAGTCAACAGTTCCATGTTCAACAAAGCATCTTTGGAATAAGATGGAAATGGACGTTCATCTGACAACACAATAATAATTGTCTGATGCTATAATGTCGAAGAGGACCAAAAATCCTAAACATCTAAAGAAATTTATGATACCTTGTTAAATCTCTGTCAAGAGGAATTAAGGTAGATCTGATGGCACAATGGGGTTCAACACTCGTCCACAAAGTGGCCAGTGAATTTATGTTTTAATGGTGCATCAGTGACAAATTTTCTACAAAATAAAAGGCAACATTTTCTACAAAGCATGATAGCCACATTAAAAAAAAAAAAAAACGGGTTTTATTTAGAATTTGTTGTTTGCTTTTACTCCATTGATGAACTGGTACTTTGGACATCTTTGTCTGGCTAGACACCGATTTATTTTGTTTTTCATCAAATTTTTTTACAGCAGGTGTAGTTGACACCAATGAATTTATTCAATCAACAAATTTGGTCCAAAGATAAATATCAAAATAATAATTCTATTAATGATCTCGGTAAACCATCCTAGCTGTGATCAACAACAAAAAAAGTTAACATTCAGTGTGTCAAATTTGTATTGCTTTATATTTCTGTAATGTAAGATACAAAATACAATAAATTTAAATAATTAGCAGGAAGGACATCCTTTTTGAAGAGCCCAAACACAATGACACAACCACAAAACGGTTTGCCTGCTGTCATATGTTCGTAAAATTCACTTTCTGTGTTTATTGACATGAATAAAAATATGCGTACATCTGATTTCACGTAAATACATTTGGGCAATTTTGGGTGGCGCTCATTTGCCTGCCGCTGCTGTCGCCTGGGAAACGGCTCAGGGGAGCCGTGCTCTGATTGGTCCCTCCCTACCATAATACCGGAAGTTGATGCCTAACCTGCCTGTTCTCCTTCAGGTGGTTTGACACCTGTACGGTCAGCACCTTGCGCAGTTTGCGCAGGAACGGACCCCAGCGGTACGAGGTTTTATGTCTGCTATGGACTGAGAGTGGACAGACAGCTTTGTGTGGGTCTGTGAGGACAAAGAGAACCGAAGTTGCTGCGGAATTCAAAACTTTCTGTGCGCCCGCAGGTAAGTTATTGGGAAATTTCTCCTGATGTGACGCGTTTCTTTTATTTGCGAATGAGCTTGAAGAAAAAGAACGCTTACCTTATTAAAAACCACCAGTACTTACGCATGAGTTAATAAAAAATGGACTTCTGTGTGGGAGCTGTTTTAATCAAACTCTCGGTACAGATGTGGGTTACATCATCATTTTTCGTTGGGAGACTTTGAAAGCTAAAACAGCTCTGCTTTTCACGTAACTTTCGTCATGGTGCGTCGATATCACTTGGTTTTATTAAAGTTTTTTGTGCTTTTGTGAATACTGATTGAAGAACAAGTGCTAATATTTGCCTATTGAAGTTAATAAAAGCTCTTCGGCGCGAATGGCTGCCAAGATAAACATTAAATGAACCATTTCTATTCACTCCTGCAGGCTTAGGCTCCTCACTGCGGTGCTGCCCCTGACCTTTTGTATGGGCTACAGTGAACCATTAACCAGTTTAAGCAGACCTTCTGCCATTGAAAACATACCTAACATTTTTTGGACCTTTCGTGCACTACCACGCTCGCAGTTTTGCCTGTTGTAGACTATAATTTATGGTACTGGGGGGTTTAACAAGTCTAGCTCACATTATGTACTGATGAAAACTGCTGATTATCCAATTTTAGTCAAATTAGATGGAGGTTTTTTTTTTTTTTTTTGCTGCAGGAGAACTGAAACCCAGTCACATCAGAGTCCTTGGTAGAATCAGATTTGTCTCGGAGCCAAGGAAGCAAGTAAAGTGACATTCCTGATACCTTTAGGTCTGACTCAGGTGTGGGTGCCACTGTTGCACTGCAGGTTTCTTGTCCTGTTCTGCCCTGGAAGGTGTTGTCCCAGTTGTTCTGTCCTGCATTTTCTGATCTGAATGTCCTAATGGGAGGGACAGTAATTAGCAGCTATTGAAGCTTTCACACAGAGACCGATATGTGTTTAGTCAACCCCCTCATGTTTTCAGAAAACATTTCTTAATGTGGGTGTTTTTTGAAGATCAGGTTTTTCCCCAGGTGCCTATTAGCTAGCCAAGACTTCCAGTATATGAAAAGCCATTCTGGTGTCCTGCAGTGTTTTAGTTTGATTTGCAAGTAAAATGACATGCTTTGCAAATTAGTTTCTAGTATCTCATAAAATAAGGTACTTCCCTGTGGATCAAGCACTTCCTATTCATTCAGTAACGATATAATCTTTGTTAGAATTTGTCCACATAGAGTGAACTTTATTTTTCTAACTTGTATTCCTTGTAAATTTTGATTATTATGGACTACAGATTATAAAAACACAATTCAGGGTCTTGGAAAAATTTATAAAAGCTAAATAAAAAATACTATTTTAAACAAAAATGTCAGACTTCTAAAATGTACCTCCATTTCTTTGCACTGTGTATTTGGGTGGACCTCATTTTGCATAAATTACTGCAACAATGCAGAATGGCATGGAAGGAATTAGCCTGTGGGTCTGCTGGGTGTAGAGGAAGTCCAGGTTGCTTTGATTTCAGCCTTCAGATGCCTCTGTTGTCTTTGGTTCAGAAATACCTTATCTCAATGACCGGAGCATCCCATGTATTTTATACGTCCTTGGTGGGTTTGGAAGGACTTGATCCACTTTGTGAATCTCTTCTGAAAAATGTTCGCAGATTTACACTAGAACTCTCAGAAGACTGCTGTTATCCCTGCACTTGGTGTATCTTCTGCTCCACCCAACTTTCTATTGATCTGAATGGCTTCAGCAGTCAAAGATTCATATTTTCTACATTTTAGTTTCAGAAGACAAGATTTTTACATTTCATATTTCAAAGAAATTAGTACAATCTCATAAAAGCGGAGAAACAGACTGGAATAAAAGTTTGTCCTAAATAAGTTGTGCATTGAGTTGTGCAACATACTTGTGTCTGAAGCCCATTGACTGCATTTTTTCAGCTGAACAGTTTTTTTGTTTTGTTTTGTTTTCAAAAAAAGAGTTCCAAAACAACATTTTGAACCATCTGATTGATGTTTCGCAGTGAATCACTTTGCATCTGACTTCTATAACGTCTTGAAGTTATAATGGGTCCAGATGGTGATCAAGAAAAGCATGTAAAGGATGCACTGTATGTGAATGGAAATGAGATGGTTTTGGGGATGTATAGGGATCTGACAATTGTGTTTTAGTGAATTTTTACTTTTATTTATGTATGGTTATTGTCTGTTGTACTGCAGTCTTTTCCCTGCTTTCAAGACAAATTTCTCCTATGAGAGCCTAATAAATGATCTTATCTTGCATTTATGCCATGCAAACTTGTGGAAAACAAAGAATGTGTGCAATCTTTTTTTTTTCTGCTGGTTCAATGTAGTTACTCAAATATTCTGAGATAAGAAAACAATAAAAGGCATTTTTGCTGTACTTTGGCAAGCACTGCTTGAAACTTGTGTGCAGGAGAAACAATGTCATTTACAGTACATCATATTCTATTTATTTGTTGACTATACTGTTGTTTTTACTGGTGCAATTAAAGTGAAAACTCAAGTAAATCTGTAAGTTTATAACTTTTAGCTTCTTTTCTGGGCCAATTTTTTTTATTTATATATATTTTTTTTACATCCCGGTAGCCTTTTAGTAAATCAGGAATGGGTGTATTGTTTTTGTCAGGCATGCCTTCCTCGTGACTGGTCTGTCAACACCAAGTAGTTGCTTGAAATGACATCAAGTAAGCAGAGAAACATTCTGCAACACCATAGAGCACATCAGTTGTCTTTGCATAAATTATACATGATGCACAGTCCATTATTTTATGTCTCGTCATAGAGTTTTTCATTATTCTTTGTCCCTTCTCTAGTAGTCAAAAAATATTTGAATTATGATTGTGTTTAATTGTGTCCTCTTCAGCATGTCCAATTTCAAGTTTTCTTGAGAAGAGGGGGAAAAAAAGTTCAAGAGTAGGGTTTAAGAATTTCACTTGAGACCAAGTTTGTGATCTAAATGCACAATTGTATTCATTTACTTTACAGAAAAATTTATTTCACATGTGAACATCAATTTAGTTACAATTGAAGATCATTATTTACTCATCACTTGAAGTGTTTGCATTTCATGGTAACTAACTATCTTGTTAATGTTTTATTTAAATGCAAACGCTGCTTTCCATGCAAATGTTTTCTACCTCAGCTATTATTTTTATTTAATGATCTCATTAGCATAAGGAGATACATTTCAAGACAGTTGTTACATTATGAAGATTGTTGAGCTGTCAGTAGTATTGTTGTGGCATTTATCACTTTGATGAAAACGTGCCTTTAAATGTACTAATCTGCTGGCTATATTTAGCCTCTCGTCCCAAGTTTATGATTATTTAAGAGATGCAATTTAAAAGAGATATTCAGTTAAACTGTATAGAAATACTCGAAACCACGGTTTATTGCCATCTTGCGTTAACTAAATTTCCCTTTATTTAGCACAGTAAGAGTTGCCTAAAGTACCTTTATTTGCTAAAAATGTGCAAATAGTGAGTCCAGTAGTTTACTGGAATTTTGACACATTGCTCCTGAATAGGACTCGCGTCACAGCTTTTTCATCTCTGTCCACACATTTCCTTTTGGACCAATGTCAAGGCATTGTTATTGCCACTCCAAATGATTGACCTTGTGTTTTAAACCAGTTTGTAACTGATTTGGTAGTATACATCCTTATCCATTTGAAAGACAGATTTACACTATTTTAATCAAATACAAAGTAGACTTGACGGAGTGCACAATTTTCTTTAGTTTTCTCTTGATGTAACACAAACAAGCAGAACTAAATCTTTAGCAAGCAGAGAAATTTGTGGTGACCTGGAAGTTTCTTAAACACTTATTTGTTGCCTTCTTCATACGTTCTCTTCTTGACTTTACAGATTCTGTCCTAGAGAGGCTTCAAGGGAGATTTACACAAGCAAGACTGGATAGTGACACATAGGTCCAGCACTAACGCGTGTCTTTGTGCAATGTCGAAGAGTGGCACATGGCCAGGCAATGTTGCCACGGAGTCATTGAGTAACATGGACAGTGCAGGGAGCTGTGACAGTGTAATCAGCACAAACTCTGCCTGGGTGAGTGGCATTGTAAGTCTCCTTATGTCTTTCATCTGATTTTTGTGAGATTATCTCATTCTTTAAGGTCGGTTGGCAAAATAAAGAGAAGAATAATTGGTTGCAAAGACGTATTTCAGCAAATTTACAGACTTAATGAAAACGTTTCTTTATAAGTAGTTGTACAAAGTGCGTCCTTTTAAAATGAGCCAGGAGGAAACACTAAAGGGCATGAGTCATTAGTTTTACAGGTTTTCTAATTCAATTGATTTTAGGCATTTGACTTATAATAGTTCTTATTACTAAAAGACATTGAGAGGAAAAAGGAAAACAAGCACAAGGCAGCCAAAAACACAACCTAAAGATACCAAAGCGCGATCACATTTCATTTGTCACACTAGTCAAATGCCATTAGTTTGTCTGCAGTACTCTCTCAGCAACATGCCCTTTGACCCAAAAAAAGTCACTTCAAACCTACATTACACGAGTGGATTTAACAGAAGTATGAAAACTGACATTTGTATTTAAATTTTCCTCTTTGGCCATGACTCAGAAAAAAAATGCCATTCAAGCAAGTTACCAGTAAAGGAACCTGAACGATGTTTTGCTCAACATGAGCACTAACCTCAGTGATTTGGCTGTTGACTCCATCTTAGATCTGTCTGCATTCCAGCCATAGCATACATTGTGCTCTTCCCTCAGCTTTGGCTTATTGGTTCCCTTGTATCCAAAATTCCAGTTGTTTCTTAAATCATTTGCAACGGAAGGCCCATTGTTGGAGGATGAGGAGAAATCTGCCCTTTCTACTTTCTAAGGAGCTCATCCGCATTTCCTACGTGGATCATTTTCTAGCAAAAACTGCTGTAGCCACATGTCCATTAAAACAACACATTCCTGTCCTGTTTTGAGTATTGTCAAAAGCATGACAGGCTTCAAGGAGGAGGACACGTCATTATGGTTGTCTGATACTCCTGTTTTAGATCTTACTCAAAAAGCTATTTTGTGTAAGAAATGTTGAAAGAATAATGGCATTTTATGTATTTTTGACTTTGAAATGACTTCACCATACTTAGGCTTTTTATTGTTTTGCAGAGTGAGGACAGTATGGAGTACCTATCTGCTGAAGAGAAGGCATGCCTGATGTTTCTGGAGGAAACGATCGAAGCACTGGAAGTGCAGGAAGACAGTGGCTTATCAAATGACGAGCCAGACATCTGGTCAAAGACGGAGCCACAAGATCAGATAAGAAGTAATGATATACTCTGCCAAATACTTTTTGGGTGATTTCTACAATAGTTGAATGCAACATGCACTGTCAGGATGAATGACAGTGAATGAAATGTTAACAATACTTTTGTTTCTCTTAGACGTTCCCACTGAAATGCTCAAATCAGGAAGTCTCAGGATAGCAGATTCTCCACCTGCTGGATTAACCACACAGTGGGAAACTAAGCATCACACTGCAAATCAAAACTCTGGTTACACAATCTTATCGTCACCAGCAGACAAAACAATTGACGTTTCAAAGTTAAATGGAGATCCTGTGCTTGAGAATGTCACAAAATTTGGAGATGCCTCAGAGAAAGATCTGGATATAATCCCTCCACCCACAGACTTCAGAGATGAACCAGAACTGGACTTGCTACCAGAGGCCATGACGGTGGTCCTGCCACCAGCAGACATGACCGTGGAGGCCATGACGGTGGTCCTGCCACCAGCAGACATGACCGTGGAGGCCATGACGGTGGTCTCGCCACCGGATACTAGGACTGTGGTCTCACCACCGGATACCATGACCATGGTCCCGCCACCGGATACCATGACAGTGGTCCCGCCACCGGATACCATGACTGTGGTCCCGCCACCGGATACCATGACTGTGGTCCCGCCACCGGATACCATGCCCGCCACCGGATACCATGACTGTGGTCCCGCCACCGGATACCATGACTGTGGTCCCGCCACCGGATACCATGACCGTGGTCCCGCCATCATCGAATGTCTTCACAAAGCAAAAACAAACTGTTGATGTGGAGCAGATGCGCTTGAGAGCCTCTGTGAAGAAATCTGGTTTAGATTCTTCTGCTTCTGAGGATTCTTCTAGCAAAGCCTCAGAAGTTTCTTCAATTTTACCCCAAATGATTCCCCCTTCAGAGCCCAGAAGCCCACCTGCTGTGGCCCCAAAACCTAAGAAGCTGCCTTCAAACATTATTTTAAAGTCACCGAAGACATCAAGACCTGTGCCTCATGGAAACCCAGAGCATTCGGTACCCTCCCACAGTGATCAGATGTTGTTGAACCCTCAGAAGGTTCGAATGGAGGCCCTCAAAAAGCTTGGACTGCTTAAAGATAACAAGGAGGAATCAAGTCGTGCTGTAAGCCCAAAGCAGCCCCTAAAATCTCCTGCATACAAATGGTCACCAGCGAGCCCCTCTCCTCCAGTCAGTGCTGCTGCTCCTCACATACCCCCTGTAAAACAATCTCTTACCCCAGTCAGTAGTCCCCAACAAGCCTTTGTACCCCAACAGTCTGTGTTGGCTGCTGTTGTGTCACCATCAGCTTCTTCAGCATCTCCTCCCATTGAGGACGCTGATATCCTCCCAGCACCTGCAGCTTTCAGCGATGGAGTTGTGCCTTCAGGTGATGAACTTCCTGCTGACACAGAGGCTCCTTTCAGTACCCTTCCTAACACATCGCCACCAAAGGTGATCAGTATGAAATCGGCAACCTTGGAGCGATCTGGTTTGGGTCTGTCCAATCAGAGCTTATTGGAGATAGCTGGGGACGAGCAAGACCTAAAGCACCTGCGCAACATTCGACCAAGGCCTGCCTCTCTGGGGACTGGGAAAGACTTTTCTCACACTAAAGATGAGGGTTTGGTGGCAAGCGGAACATCAGAATCCCAGAAGCCCCAACCTTCACAGGCATTCCACCGCAGAGAGTCTTCTAAACTGCCTCGATCTCAAGGCATCAGCGTGGTAATCTGTCCTCGCGCAGAGAACGAAGAGGATCGGCGCCAGGCCCTGAAGAAGCTGGGACTGCTCAGAGACTAACTTCCAAATGTACCTTTATATATTGTAAAAAGACTGATGCACATCATAAAATGCTGAAGGAGTGCCTTAGCCACATTCTTACGCTTCTGTTTTCCACAGAATATCATGTGGTTGACTGGACACAAAGTATCTGTTTCCTTTGACCATATAATAGCTCAAATCAAAATGTCAAAATGAGTGTATTTCACAGAACTGCAATGAAAACACTTTTTCACATAACTCATGTGATCAACAACTGAATGTTACTGGTAGAAAACATGAAGACAGGAAGTTTTAAAATGATTTTTTGCGTGAAAAAAAAACATATTCACATGTGATTTTAATTGCTTGTCTTATTTAACGGAAACACCGCAATCATGTAATTGTTTTCTTGACATTCGGAATGTCAACGTTTTACACTCATTTATAATGGAAACGGAGCTTGTGTTTCTCTTCTCTTACATCAGACTCCTGGTAGCTATAATGTCTTTGATATTATTTACCTTTTAGAGTCTGTAATATGTTTTTTTTGTTTGTTTTTGTCTGCTGATTTGTTTGACTTAATCCCACCAGGTGCTGCTGACTGTTTCAACCCTTCACCATTTCATACTTTTGCAGTTTTGGTCATTTTGTGCTTAACCTTTTTGGGTGCTAATAGGAGAAATCTCCCACAAGCTTTTTTCTCACAGGCCATTTGTGAATTTGTTCCCACCTAGGGGATGTTTCTTTACCACTGTGATTTTCAATGCTTCAGAATAAGGTTTTATCTAATCCACTTGTAGTCAACTGTGTTTAAACATGATAATGAGACTTTGACCAGGAGGTCTTTCACAGTTGTTTTGGACTAGTCATAATCTCATACATCATTTGGCCTGAACAGGAAGCAGAATTACAGTCAGTTAAGTAGGAAATTGAAGGCAATTTTTTTTTTAAAAATAACGTAGATTATACGAGGTTTAATATTTTACAAAAAGCTGAATATTTGTATATATGGAAGAAATTATTTGTCTCATGGGGATAAAAATAGGCAAACTGACCAGAGTCTGTTCTGTTTTTCAGACTTTTTTTCTATTTATTGTTAACTGTATCCTGTTGACTTTCTCAACTATTTTTTTGTTTTCATTAAATATAGAACAATATAAAGCACTTTCTACTTGTGTTGAAGCTTCTATTTCTGTGCCTTTAAAAATGCAGTACATGACCAAAATCTGAAACATCTGCATGGTTTGGCTCATACGTTAAAAACATAACTCTACACTTCAGCTACTGCAATGTGGAGTCAGTCTGGGAGCTGCAGGTATCAATGCATTTATCAGAAGATAATATAACCTGTTTTTAATTATTAATTAACCTGTTATTGTTCACAATGATGTCATCCCCGTGTGTTGCATCAAAGCAGACGCTGACGCACAGATTCAGGTTTGATTTCTCCACTTCTGTGTGTGGGTGGAAAAACAGGTGCAACGTGTTTTTCAGCCCTGATGGAGCACAGTTACTACAATCACTCGACTGAGGAACTTGAGATCAGCTGTAAGCTTTTAAGTACAATTAGTTTTGCTCTTTTATTCTCTTTTCAGTTCACTGCTTGCATTGAAAATGAAACTAAAAATGTGAAATTTAATGCATACTATTTGCATTATGTATATCATATTTAGTTTTCAGATCTGGAATTGTAGAATTGTTATTATTCATGCCTTTTTTGAATTGAAATTTTGTTACTTTACAGTCACTAATTTCAGGGAATTTTCTTGGGACTCTGTCATAGAGTAGCAAGTCACTGTGAAATGAAGGCATTAAAGCAGTTTGATATTTCATCATGGGGATGACATAAAAAGACAGATATACATGGTTTTCCACCACAAGACAGCCAAAGAGTTGCTCTTTTATTTGATCTTTTTGTAATTTTTCCATAACGATCATATTTTGGTATTGCACATGTAAGAATATGTGGTTCCAACAGATTCTCCTTGAGAATCACCTGAGCTACACATTTCTGCAGTACCTCCAGAGTTAACCAGAGAAGCTTAGCTGCTTCATGATACCTCTGTTCATTCATTTTGTCTAACAAACTAATAAACCTTAATTGGATTTACTGTGATTGATTATTTTAAACAAAGCTGAACTCCATCCACCAATTCAGCGTCTTTTTAAAGATTCTATTTAGAGGCCTTGGAGTCAAAAGCACAAAACACAAATATGCATAACACTTTCCAAAATTTGATTTGGACATATATTGAAAAGTGTGCATTCTTTACCTTCTATTTCAATATGTTGTGTTTCTCTTTTATATCTCACACAATCCGATTAATATAGATTGATTTTATTAATTGTCTGGAGGCAAAATGTGACAAGGTTCCAGGGATATGGGGCTGAATCACATATTCAGTCTTTCTTTTCTTGACTTCATTTAGCACTTTCTACAGATGTGAGGACATATATTAATTACCAACCCAGTTTGTTTATTGTGAGAACAGTGCAACTCATTTAACTGCATAAGTTGGCATACCAGTAAGGTTGTGGTGCATCGATGAGCCTTACACCATACACCATTTTTATTTTTGTCACTGTTGTTGTTGTTCTGATCACATCTGAGATATTTTCTGAGCCTAACTTTGTATCCAGCCCCTCATTTGCAACACTTGTTGACAGAATATTTTCATATGTTGATGTGTTTATTTTTATACACCTTGCACAAAAGGGGAACTGTGTGGGGGAGCAAACACCTGCCAACTAAAAAGGGAATTTAAATGTTATTAGCAAATAAAACACAGGTGTATTTGGTTTTATTTTATGCACTGCAGTCAAATGTAGAAAAAAAGGCATGCATTTGCAGTTTACTTTTTTTTTTTTTTTTTTTAGATTTTGTACAGGAAAGAAACCAGAAAGAGAAAGCAACTCAATGTCGGCAAACAAACACCAGAGGCTTTGTGCTGCTCTGTGGCATGTTGCTGTGTGAGTCGACTCTCTCTTCTGACAGATGACCTTCTGAGGAGGAGTGCGTGACAGCTCTAGTCACTTTACCTGTTACCTTCACAGGCCTCGTCTATCAGGTGCTCTGAATAACATACCACCATAGCTTGCAACCACAATATGCAGCACTCCTACTATAAACAGTTTGCAAAGGTGACACATCCTGAGAGACAAAATGAAAGCTGAATAATTTGATGGTTGGCAAGGATTAACTTTCCATCATGTCAAACTTGGTTGACAGTCAGGGTTATTGATTTAAAACAACAACAAAAAAATTTAAATAGTGTATTTCAAAGAGGATCAGTCAAAGAGCATAAAATCTGCAGTTGAAAGTGAAAGAACAGTTGTGTTCATCATGTGACCCCAGCTTTAAAATATGGCAGACCACAGTAGAGACACCTCAGAGAACTTTAGACTCTGCAGAGTCTAGTGTGAAATTAATACTACAGCCTGACAATGAAACATTAAAAACTGCCTGTAACTAAGTTATATATGATATTCATTCATTTCCTTTCTGTGGAATAATAAAAGCTGTTTTAGAAGGGCCCACAGTGTTTCACTTGTGACTTTATTTTCCACTAGAGGGCAGTCTGGATTCATCAACAAAAATTTCTAGCTGTTGGAATCACATGTTGAATACACGAATATTTTACATTTATATAAACCCTTCAAGTTTTATAAATACCATATTAGTATATAGTAAGTACTCTTCTTCTGCTCTTCTGGGATTTTTGTGAAATGCAGTCCTTTTACATTCTGTTGCTTTAAAGAAATAATAATCCATGATTCCATGATTGTTTTTCTTTTCTCTTAAGTGCTGAAATTACAGGGGGATAGGCTACAAAAGTAAATGTTATAGAAAAATTATGGAAATAATGTATAATTTTACTACTAACTGTAATTTGAAACCAAAAAGCACTGAATTGTGTTCTCTAATTCTGCTTCCGATGCATTTTTTGTTCAATGTTTTTGGTTTGATATATGATTATTGTGTTTTGAAGGATTCTTACAAAGTAAAGAGTATTTGGCATTTGTTGATTGTCTTATCTATATCATAATTTAGTCATTTGTAATTCATTAAACCCAAAAAGGAATTTGGCATTCATTTGCTTGTTTCAAACTACATATTCAAGTCTGTTTGAAGCTCAGGAGTTGAAAAATTCACAGTAGCGGATAGTCTGGGAAAACATTTGTATTCCTTTTGTTCTGGTTAAAAGCTCAGCTAAGACATGAACCCTTATGTCTTTAACAGCAGGTTTTTTGTGTTTTTTTACCTTTTGAAAACAGAATTTCTTTGTCTTGTTCTGTGAAAAGGAAGTGATTCAGATTTGTGAATCAAAGCAGAGAATAACATGAGGACTAAGTGTGGGCGATTTGTGGGAACTTCAATCCCCATGAGCCCTAAGCTTGGCGATCCATCAGTGGGTTAATGAATTTTTGCGGTTTGATGAAAGTTAAGTGTCGTTTTCTGTCTTTCAGATAAGCTGAAACTCTTTGAGACTCCTTGGAAACATTTCCCTTGTGACAGGAGCCAGAGGAGGCTTTCATAGCTGCTGGAATATCTGGCTAGACGATGAGCTCATGGGACTTCCCCACCATCTTGGCCTTGTTCTGTACTTACCTTCTTACATATTGTCTGTCTGAAGAAAGCCACCCTCCCCCCCTTTGACCTTTCCTCCACACATGAGTTTATCATGGAGGATTAGAAGGGACAAAGTGAAACAGAGCCACCGCCGAGTATGCTCAGGTTTGAGCATGCCTAGCAAAGTTCTGCGTCATTAAAACAGTTAGCTGAGAATAAATGTCTATCATCTCTGCTGTGTTTGAAATTGCCTGCCAGCAGATATACTTTAAGCACAATACACTTGAGGTGAACGATTATGCTTCTTTGAATGATAAAACCACAGTGAGGATTACATTTGGGAAAATATCCATCGCTTTATCTCGTTTGATCTTGACTAGTCCACTTGATTGTAGGCACTCACGCACACTCACACTCAGCTCAACACACAGCTGCTTCTGCATGCTGAGTATTACCTACATATCTCCTGCTGTAATAGTAAAATTCACAGCTGTGGGAAATAAGTAGGCATAATCTGGAGAAGTGGAAAGACTCATTAGAAACCTTCCAACACGGGCCTCTGCAGCGGTGCTGCTTCCTTCACAGTACTGCTTTTTGGAAAAACTGACATGGTAAAAGAAAACCTACCCAGGATTCTTTTGGACCTTGCGTAGAATTGGATTTAGGGTATCAGTAGTATTTTACAAGATAACAGTATCGTGCGCTTAGTCCTATGATGCGGCATGTCAATAGAGACACAGTAGAGCTGAGTTTAATTAGGCGTATATATGAGCAACCACTGAAGATGTTCAACTATGTTGAAACTTCAGTTTGTAGTGTGAAAATTCAATGACTCTTTGAGGCCCCCCTTTTAATGGGCTGGGGCCCTAAGCAGAAATGTAGTTTTCTTCTGCCACTGACTCTCTCTGGGAACAGACTTGCAAGATGCAAAATCTGTGAGTTACAGTAATTTTGAAGACAGACCAGAAAAAGAGAGTTTTTCTTCAAGTTAGTAGAAGATGAACTTGTGGATGCTATCAGACCACACAGTTTTTGTGGATAGATATCAGTCAGCCTTTCAGTTCTGCTCACTGCAACTTTATTCCATTTCTTCATTGTAAAACTGCTCAGGCTCCGTCAGGTTTCTTGGGGATTGATTATGAACAGCCCTTTCCAATCCCCACCACAATGAGATTAATATCTGGGCTTTGACTGAGCCACTTCAGAACATCCACCTTGTTGTATTCAAACCATCTCTGTGTAGCTTAAGCTGGATGCTTCAGGTTGCTGTCTAGATGGAAAATAAACATCCTCTGAAGCTGTAGTTCTCTTGCTGACATAAACAAATTCTCCTACAGGATTTTTTTATATTTTGCTGCCCTTTTTTACCTTCTACCTTTACAAGCCCTGTGGGCCTGATGCAGAGAAACATCCTTTGTGGCAACAGCATTTGCAATGGCTTTTCCTTCAGCATGATGCTGCATCACAACACTTCACAGTGATGACGTTGTGTTTGACTTGATGTGCAGTGTTGGGCATCAGTCAAACATAGCAACTTATCTGACAGCCAAAAACTCAATTCAATTTTGGTCTCACAAGAACAAAGGACTTTCTTCCACTTGACCATGAAGTCATCAAACTAGTTGAGCTTTGATATGAGTTTTCTTTAGCAACGACTTTCTTACTGCCACTTTCCCACAAAGTGTGGCTGGTGAAGAACCTGGACAACTGCTGTTGTATGAAGAAAAGACTGTAATTCCTTCAGATTTCAGCTCTTTCTCTAGTCTCATGCTCATGTTTTTTTTTTCTTGTTGTTTATTTATCAATCTCCTCACATACACTTTTCAATAACTTTTCTCTGATTTGACTGGAGTATTCTTTTGTCTTCATGCTGTAATGGACCTTCCAGACACAGCTGTCCTTTTATTTTGCAATAATAAAAATAATCCAGATATTGTTGCTCATGACTGATTTGTAAAAACAATATAAAAGGATAAGACATTCAAGTGTTTGAATACTTTTTATAGAAACTGTACATGACACATCTTTCTCCAAATTCATAAAAGTTTCAGATAAGTTGATTTTATTCATCTGGGATGTGTATATTTTTACTGTGGTGAAAAAAAAATATGAGCAAAATCCAAAATGAACAAAGAAGCTAGATGACATCATCAGAACTGTAATCACCAGTGAGGTATATTGTTTTAGCAAAAATAAACCATACTCTGAAATAATAATTACTCTTGTGGTCTAAAAAAACCAATTTTTCATTTTCATTTTTATTTAACATTTTTGTGCAAACACAGTGAACCTGCGATGTTTTTACTCACTGTCGTACTGCTTTGAGAATCTCAAGCAAGTCCACACTTAGATAGGTGGCATTTGACTCAAAACTGCTTTTTCTCTTTTGATAACTAGATTTCCTCTTGAACTCTTTGCTCTCTGTTAGTGCCAGTGACCGAGGCTGTGGTCGCGAGGCATTCCAGGGGCAAGCCCGCAGCGCTTGTGTGATGACTGCACTAAAGTGTTGAACTCAGCAAGCCACTCTGTTCCCCTGTGGTGCTGGCCTGGTGAGTACCAAGACATCCTGCTGGGCCTGCGGTGGTGTTGGTAACCTCGCATATAAAGAGTGTTTTTTTTAAATAAAAAAGAAAAAAAAAAAAAGGAGAAGGGGAAAGTTCTGTGCTGTGATACCAAGTGGTTTCATGTATAAATCTGTCACACGATCGGAGTTCAGCTTCTTACACATTTGAGGTGTCCCTGGCTTAGCTTGTGGCAAACAGCATTTGCAATGGCTTTCTCTGAAGAAAGGGTTTCATGACAGCCAGGTTTAACGTGAAGCTAACCGTTGTTCCGCCAACGGTTAGCTGCTACAGACTTAGCATTGGACAAGGTTGTCCTCATCCAGGGTATCATTTCATCCAGACTTGAAGACAAATTTTAAACTCAAATGGATTGTTTTGGATGTTTTGAATGAAGCTGATTGGACTGTGTAATGTGTACACATTTAAAAATATATCTATTTTTATTTTGTTTTCAACATTTTTATTTTTTGCTTTAATTGTCCACTACTTTACTTCAGTCTATTAAAGCCCCAAAGGAAATGCATCGTAGTTTGAGGTTGCAACCTTGCTGTTGCCTTTGTGCATTTCACATGTCTGGAAGGTGTTGCATAAAGCTATCTCAGTCTCCATAAATTTCAGTCCAATTTTACTTACTAACCATGGAAGACCTTTGTTGCTCTCCTGACACCTTCTTCATTCTCCCTTTGCTCTTTACCTAACATGCAGCCAAAGTCCTCTTCATGAAGAGAATCATAAATTAAACATCACCTATGTTTCCCTTGCGTGTCTGTCGGTGTAAAAAATAGCTCGTCTCGGTGTGCTGTGTGTTGCCCGTGCACAGCACTCTGCCTTTAATGGCTTGTTACCAAGAAAAGTGTGCTGATCCTCCGCAGCAACTCGTGCTCGGTCTCGGCTGTAACTGTGCACTGACTTTCTCAAACTCCCAGAGTGGCTGTGAGCTCATTTGGTTACACAAGTGCTCACAATTACCCTGAGATTTGGCCATGGGGACAAGGGATATTTCTATATCCCTGTCGGATGTTATTTTAATTACACCAAACTGCTCGACTTTGTGCTGCAGATTCACATGGATTCTTTCTTCTTCTTCAGAGGCATCTCTGAAAGTTTACCTGTAACCAAGTTTATTTCTGGCAAAACAGAAGAGAGTGGCTTGTGAAACCATATTAAATCACATCTTGTATCAAGGCTTTTAATTTAACTTAATTACATTAACTCAAGTCATCTTTAAAGCACAGGTAATGACAACATTCAGATAGGAGGAAAGATAATAAAAATCTGCCTCGAGCCTTTTAGGTTTGTGTGTGTGTCTTTAACTCTCTGCGAGGCAGAGCTCTTATCTCCAATCAGCATCATTGTGAAGCCCTAATTATATTTGATTGAGTAAAAGAAATTACACATGAGAAAAGGGATGATAATTATAGTGTAGAAATCTGCGCGCACCATAAAATGCAAACATAAATGCATTAACACTGCTGATTAATTTAGGTGTGAAAGAGGCGGCAGGTGTGAGGATGCAGATGGTCTGAATGCGTCGATGCTGCCTGAAAGGAAACTCGTCAAAGATCGTTCTTTGATTTGGGGGTTAATTTTGTGCTCATAATCAGGCGACTGCGAATATAGAGCATCTTTAGTGCAGCAATTTTCACTCGGGAAGCTTTAATGTCCTGCTGTTGTCCTATTTTAAAAGAAATGTTCTTTCATTAGAAAGGCTCTCACTATAAGTCACACCAGACTGAGGAAGCAATTCATTCTGGGCCGCACTTTAAACAACCGCTGCAGCCCATTCTACATCTTAGCTGAACATAAATAATGCATTTTTAATGAAAATCACTGGTAAATACAGGTAGCGAGCTTTACAACAAATTTCTTACAGAAACATAATCTTAATCTGAAAAATAGAAAAAGAATCCAGCCCTTCATTTTTTTTTTACTTTAGAAAACCTTTAGAAACTACTATACATGAGGTTAGGGTTAGGTTTTTTCTTATTTTTTTTGTCTTAATTTCTCCATTAAGTCTTTCAACATGATCCATGCTCCTAGCTTTTGACTGCATTTTACACCTCATGATAAAAGATCACATTTACAATGGCATTACTGAAATAGATTAACTTTTCGAAGATTTTCCAAGCACCTGAAGTTAATGTTGGATTGCTAAGTAATTGTAAAACAATCTTTATTGAATGGAAAATGAAAAAAAAAAAAAAATCCCTGAACATGTATCATAAGAAAAGGGGGCCCAACAGAAGTTCTGCTCTGGGCCTCATATTACCATGGCTCGCCTCTGTTTTAAATGATCAGGTATAAATGCGCTCTGACTGTTTAGTTGGCCCAGATGATGATGATCTCCACGCCTTACTGGGTAACTGCAGAATGCAATCTCCAAGCTATTACTTTTTTCATCTGAGGCGTTTATAAACCCATCAACCCCCCCCCCACCACCACCACCTTCTTACAACAATTGCTTTTTACCAAAGTCCCGTGACGGCAATTTATGTTTTTGCGCAGGTGCACGAGCCGGACCCGCACCTCTGCGCACGTGGGAACCCCCTGCTCACCTTGAGCCCAGCCAGCACCTGCGTATAAGTTCCTGCAGAACAAAAAAAGAGAGAGAGGAAAAGAGAGAGAGAGAGAGAGAGAGAGAGAGAGAGAGTCTGAGGTAGGAGCTGAAGCGTCGGATGAGTCAAGAGCACTGATCGGACGCTCCTTCCTCTCTCCTCCCCCTTTAGACCCCGTCGAGCACTCCATCTCTCGCTCCTTCCTCCCCCCTCTCTCTCTCTCTTAAATTGGCACCGTCTCTGGGCTCGAACCATGATAACAGAACGGGCTTATTGCGCTCCGCGTTGCAGGGCTCTCCTCAACCCCGATCCCTTCAAACTGAAATAAGAAGACGTTTAGAGGAGAGAGAGGGGGGAGAAGGACATACAAAAAAAGAGAGGATCGCACCGTATCCTGTCAGCGGGTGCTCAGGAGGAGTAGCAAGACACTATATTTCTGCCACACACACCCTTCTATGTTCTGTGTGCTCCTGCGCATCGCAGATCCCACAAAGTCTTCCTGTCGTGTTGAACTAAAGGAAAAGTTAACATGCATCTGCATGCTTTGGTCCGCGCAAACCTTGGATTTGTGGGTTTCCTTTTGGTCGCCTTTGTCCAACAGTCAGCTTCAGGAAGTAAAACCACTCAAGGTAAGTTGTCGCCTCTAAGTGCCTTTCATTTTACTAATTGCAGCCGATCATGTGCCTAAATTAGTTAATCAGACTGAAAGCAAACACGTGTCCAAACCACTTAGAATCAATATCAGGGGCGCTTACAGAAAGTTTTCAAAACGGGTGGCCAGATTTCTTTTTTTTTTTTTTTTTGAGGGGGTGGGGGGCAAATAATCTTGGTGGTGGCACTTAACCAAAAGCCAAAACTAAGATTGGTTGTCATCAGCTAGAAAGAGGGTTAAGGAGCAAGGCTGGATTTATTCTTACTTAAGAAGCATTCGGACAATTTCTCCTTTATCCGTTTTGTAAAATGCATGAAAAATAAGTAAATGAACCATTTTACGCCTATTTTATTAATAATTTAAGATAGGAAAGTCAGTTGGGTTTTTTTTTGTGCCCACAACTACTAAGTAATAATTAAAGATGCACTGATCACCCTTTTCCTGGCCAATACCGATTTCCAGTGTTCTTTTAGGTCTTTGTTGCTGATACTTTTTTTTTTTTAATTGATTTGTATTTTTTGTTTTATTTTGTCAACAAAAAATAAAAATGGAAAGATTTCCCACATTTTCACATTGAACTTTTGCCTGATTGTAATTCAACTCAGAAAAGTCGGTGTTCATGTTCCTGGATTATGTGTTTCTATAAAATTTAAAAAGCTACAAATGAGATTTGGTTGGGCAGAAAATTTATTAGCCAGGCATTATTCATAAAACATTATTTACAGATTAAAAGCAACAAAGCATATTATTATTGTTAAACGATATAAAAAATGTAAAGTAAAATGTATAATTGATAAAATGCATTCTTAAATGAGAGACTGGTATGAACCATGCAAAAAACAATAATTTTGGGAGTCTAACCCAAAGCTAAGTTGTGAAGTTCCATGTTAATCAAAAGAGTGGACAGTGTTGGCACCGCAGATCTGAATCAGGCAAACCATGATTACTTTGAAACGCAAATTTATAGTTTTTCAATTCCAGTTTTTTTTTTTTGGAGCAGATGCTTTCTGTTTATTCTGCATCTTATTTTGCAATCATTTAATTGCTTTCTATTGTCGTTCGTGCTGTGTCGATCTGCACAGTTGCTTATATTTATGATGACTTGCCAAGACAAAACAAACAAACAAAAATACACAATGAGACTGAAATTAAGTTTTGTTTTTCTGCGACTTTGCTGTTGTTGGAATGAAGCCGCTTGCTTTGATCTTGAGACGGCATCGGTTGTGTGAACGGTTGCATTTCGTAGGTAACCCTGAAGGTAATTGTAGCAAGAATACGGGGAGGTATTTGTCACAGTCTAGACAAGTATTTGACACCAGCCTGCAAGACACACACACACACGCACACGCAAACGGTGGAGTCTCAGTCTGTCAGACAGTGCAGCTACAGTGCTGTCCTCCTCTCATCTTGTGTGAGAATTCATTCAGACCAGACTGACCCGACCACCTTACAGGAACAAGAAAAGACATGGTGTAAAACCTTCAGCTCTCTGATCCTCTCCTCTTTCTCATTCCACCCCCTCTCACAGGTTTTCAACACTTAAATTTCTCACAATACAAAAGCCGAGCAAAGCTACCCGAGTATTTGCATGCAAAGACACATGGTTTGTGTGTGAGTGGCTGATTGTGGTCAGTGATGTTTTGCACTCACAGAAAGACATCTCTCGGGCGGTCGACAAGGCAAAAAGAGAGAAAAAGAGAGAGAAAGGGGGTGGGTGACTATTTTGCATCCTGGGTGGTCTGCCCCCACTTGTGGGAAAACTCAATATTTACATTTTGCAATTAGAACTACTTTTTTCTCACTTTATTCTCCACAACATCGATTACACACTTCCTTGTAGCGTGGAATGCTCCTTGGGAGCAAGCAGGGCTGTAATGGCATGCACCTGTTTGTTGGTCACCGAGTGAAATGCTCCGGACGACCCACTTGATCGACTTCTCCTCTGGTTCCTGTTTATTGGTGCAAAGCGTGCTCCTTTGCTGCGGCTCTGAAGCTATTTGTGAGCATGTTGTGGCCCTAACTGCAAATAAATATTGTGATTTAATGCTGATGACAACTCCAAGATGCTGAAAAGTCTTCAAAAATGGAAGTGGTTTAAAGAAAAAAAAACAGAAAGAGAGATGAACAATAGCTGGATTAAAACAAACAAAAAAAATGCAATTTATCGGTTGAGTATTTATTCAGTGCAGATGTTGTCTTTCATCAAAGTCATTCTAATCATGGCACTGTTTCTGGCACCAGCCATTACTCAAAGAAAAAAAAGGGAGTGGGAGAGCAGAGGGAGAGAGAAAGAGACAGGGAAGATTTGAGGATGTGGTGGAGAGAATGACAAAGAAGTGGAAAAATGAGAGCAGGGGAGATTAAATGCACAGAGAGAGGAGCTACAAGTGAGCAAAGAAAAAAAAGGGAGCTGTACACGTCATGGCAAATCACTTTCCCCTCGAAGGGAGTCAGGATCTCTTGCGGTGGCACCAAGGCAACGGTTGGTGTGGGGCTGACATGCTGCTGTGGCTGGCTGTGTTGGTGTAACCTCTGCTCCGGGGCCCTGAGGGTCTAAAGACGCAGAGCTGCCGGAGTGGGGTGGAAGGCCACATGCAGGCCCTGACAAACTGTGGGAACCGAGCGGCCTCAGCAATATGAGGCCCAAGTGACGGGGAGGCTTACCTTGAGATGCTAACTGAGTCTGCTCTGGCTGGGTGCGATGGAAGGGAAGAAATCCCCCAACGCTCACTCACCCCTCTCCTCTTGCTTTGTTTGCTTTGTCCCTGCTTCCTCTCCTTTGCACTTAATGAAGGAGCCATGCTTTTTCTTAGTCAAACGCATCCAGTGACTACATTACACCCGCTCTGTCAGCCATCGCAATCATTTCAGATAATGATTAGCAGAGCTCCATTTCATTCTTCTTTATCTTCTGACATGACCAGATGTTCAGCAGGTCTGACCGCAGCGTCTTTATACAGTGACTCTTCCAACATTTGGGCAAAGTCACGGATTAGTTTCTGGAACTACTGTGAACCAAAAATGCCTGTTGCTAACACTGTTATCTTGCTGAAAGAAAGCAACTGTACTTTTCACTCATGTACAACACAGACAAATACAGTGGTTTGGACATGCATTATAAGGTTTTCCCCAGAAAACTTGCTAAGCCTGGTAGTTGGAGCGCTCTGCAGTCAATCATCCAGTGGCTCACTGTGTATTTAAGTTTGAAAATGTTTAAAGTTAACAGGAAAATTTGAAAATATCACTTGATAATTATGTGTTATTAGAAGATGGATATCTGAACACAAGCTCTAAAGTCTTTAAAAATGCAAACATTAAAAAAAAACTTAAATAGGCAATTCTAAGCCTGGTGGGGGCACAAGTAAAGCCTGGTGGCCCTCCAGGCTTATAACACAGTGGCGAAACCCTCATTATATTTAAATACACTCCATAGAAAGATGTACAATTTTGGAGGCAGATTTGTTTTTTACATTAAATCAGACAGAATTTTTCTTTGTAATTCAGATTACCAAAGCATTTATATTTGCTAGATGCTAGGTTGACAAGAGAAATAACTTTTAGGGATTTTGTTTTATTACTTTCAAGCAGTTTGCAGTATTACCATTTCTTTCAAGTACATTTGAAACACACTTCACTTAAAACACACACATGGCTACCCAGTCAAACCGGTCTATTGTTTCAACTGATTGACAGTGTCCAGCAACAAACTATTCTAATAAAAAGAGGTTGTTACAACCTTTGAAGATCCATAATTATTAACGGCAATGAGAGTTTAAAAAAAAACTAAACAAAAAAAAAAAAAAAAAAAAAAACACTTTTTACCCTTTTGGCCAGATTTTATCTCATAAAAATGCAAGGAATAATGTTTTTGTTCTTCTTCTCAGATATTTTCAGCAGCTTGAGGTGTAACCATAAGTACAGCTGTTTTGAATTTTAACATTTTAAATTCTCATCCATTTCGCAAGGGCTGAGAATAAGACCTCCCTTGAAACAGCTTGGTATGAAACTCTCTTTTTATCATCTCGTCGTCATTAAAGACTGACTCACAGGAACAGTATGATAAAACTTTTGGTGTTTTGAAACACAAACTGTGACAAACCTTGACATCTTCAACTGGCCCATGTGTGCATATTGGAAAGTTTTCTCATAATTTTCTTCTAATTTGGCTGCTGAGTGTCAGAATAAGGATGGAAGACTCCTTCCATTCATAAAGCTTTGACATTTTTATGACATGTAATGTTGAAGGGATTGCAAGAACCTTCCGTTCTTAAGCATAAACTTTGTTGTGATCTCTTTGTTTGGGTTTTCAGTAGACCTTTTATTTTTTTTTATCTAGAGTTAGTAAATCTGCTTTATCTTAATTGGTTACTCTATGTAAGTCTGAATATATTTTATTTTTATGAGTACCAAGCGTACTGTATGTATGACAGTCTGGACGAGCATCTTCTCCTTGAGATGCCATCCTTGTGTCACTTTGTTTAATTTTTAAATACTTTTTTAACAAGCAATATATGTTTTTGAAAAATGCATATCTTCAAAAAAATTTAAAATCTCCACTTTTTCACATTTTGTCACACTGAAACACTAAACGTCAATAGTTTAACCAAAAAAAAAAAAGAATGGCACAGGAATGTGATTTTAATTATTTTCCTAATGAAAATCAGAAAAGTGGAAGGTCTAGAAATATTTAACCTTTCTGACACTAATAACTGAAACTAGTGCAACCCACTGCCTTCAGATGTAATCCAGTTGGTAGACGTCAATCTGTATATTTAGCCTCCATTTAATATTAGCAAAAAAACTTTCAAGATTAAAAGATACAAAAACAGGTAAAAAAATAAATGTGTAGAGAAGCTTAAGCCTCCTATTATCATCATGAGTCAAAAACGTGCAGCAGTAATGACAAATTGACATATGACAAAGGAAAATAGTTTTCAGTGCTTTTACACCTTGCAAGACACCTGAACTGACAGGCCT